GTTAAGAAATTAGAGAAAGTGCAAAGGTTTGCGACAAGGTTGGTTCCAGAGCTAAGGGGACTGTCCTATGAAGAAAGGTCGAGGGAAATAGGCCTGACGACACTTGAGGATAGGAGGGATAAGGGAGACATGATAACGACATACAAAATACTGCGTGGAATAGACAAGGTGGACAGAGACAAGTTCCAGAGAGGGGACACATAAACAAGGGGTCACTCTTGGAAGTTGAAGACTCAGATGAGCCACAGGGTTTAGGAAGCATTTCTTCAGTGATAGAGTGGTCAGGAAGTGGAACAGTCTGGCAAGCGATGTAGTGGAAGCAGGAACCATACATAGCTTTAAGACGAGGTAGGATAAGGTCATGGAGCAGGGAGAGAGAGGACCTAGTAGCGTTCAGTGAAGAGGCAGAGCCAGGAACTGAGTCTCGACCACTGAAACTACAATTAGGTGAGTTCAGTTAGGCGAAAGGAGGAAAGAGAGGGGATGGAGAAGACAGACAGGAGATCCCAGACCCAGGAAGATCAAATACAGCCTCCCTCACAACTTCCTATAGAAGCCTCCCAACGAGGTCAACCCTAGTGCAACCAAACACTCTAAATCAAAACACCCATGCCACATCCAATGCCCCCACCCACTACATTACAAACTCCACCCCCACAGCAACAACCCATAGTTCCTTACCAGGTCTCCCACTTCCCCAACCCCAATATACCTCCCAGACCACAGTCTTAGAAAAGAAGTTGAAGGTGTGGTATACAAATGCAGATGGAATAACAAACAAGTATGAGGAGTGGCACGAAAGAATCAAAGAGACATCCCCAGACATAATAGCACTCACAGAAACAAAACTCGCCAGAATAATAGATTCAATCTTTCCATCCGGATACCAAATCCTCAGGAAAGACAGAGGGAGGAGAGGGGGAGGAGGAGTTGCACTGCTCATTAAAAACCAGTGGGGTTTTGAGGAAATGGAAGGAATGGATGGCACGGGCGAAAGGGACTACTTAGTAGGAACAATCCAGTCTGAGGGACATAAGGTGATAATTGCAGTAATGTACAACCCACCACAGAACTGCAGGAGGCCAAGAGAAGAATACGTTGAGAGCAACAGAGCAATGATCGACACACTAGCCGAGGTGGCCAGGAGAGCACTCATGGGGGGAGCAAAGTTACTAGTTATGGGTGATTTCAATCACAAGGAGATTGACTGGGAAAACCTGGAGCCCCATGGGGGTCCCGAAAACATGGAGAGCCAAGATGATGGATATGGTACTGGAAAACCTCATGCATCAACATGTTAGAGACACTACCAGAGAGAGAGGAGAGGATGAACCAGCAAGGCTGGACCTTGTATTCACCTTGAGTAGTTCGGACATCGAGGGTATCATGTATGAAAGGCCCCTGGGAGCTAGTGATCATGTGGTTCTGTGCTTCGACTACATAGTTGAGCTCCAAGTGGAGAGAGTAGCAGGAATAGGCTGGGAAAAACCAAACTACAAAAGGGGGAACTACTCAGGCATGAGGAACTTCCTTCAAGACATTCAGTGGGAGAGGGAACTTACAGGAAAACCAAAACAAGAAATGATGGACTATGTAGCAACAAAATGCAAGGAGGCAGAGGAGAGGTTTGTTCCCAAGGGAAACAGAAATAATGGGAAGAACAGAACGAGTCCTGGGTTCACCCAAAGGTGTAGGGAGGCAAAAACTAGGTGTACTAGAGAATGGAAAAGGTACAGAAGACAGAGAACTCAGGAAAATAAAGAAATCTCCCGAAGAGCCAGAAACGAATATGCACAGATAAGAAGGGAGGCTCAGAGACAATATGAAAATGACATAGCATCAAAAGTAAAGACTGACCCGATGCTGTTGTACAGCCACATCAGGAGGAAAACAACAGTCAAGGACCAGGTAATCAGACTGAGGAAGGGTGATGGGGAATTCACAAGAAACGACCAAGAGGTATGTCAGGAGCTCAGCACAAGATTTAAAGAGGTATTTAGAGTGGAAACCAGTAGGACTCCAGGAAATCAGAACAGGGGGGCACACCAGCAAGTGCTGGATGAGGTACATATAACCAAGGAGGAGGTGAAGAAGTTGCTATGCGAACTTGACACCTCAAAGGCGGTGGGACCAGACAACATCTCTCCATGGGTCCCTAAAGAGGGAGCAGAGATATTGTGTGAGCCATTAACAAAGATCTTCAACACATCATTTGAAACTGGGCAACTCCCTGAGGTATGGAAAATGGCAAATGTAGTCCCAATTTTTAAAAAGGGAGACAGACATGAGGCACTAAACTACAGACCTATATCACTAACGTGTATAGTATGCAAGGTCATGGAGAAGATCATCAGGAGGAGAGTGGTGGGGCACCTGGAAAGAAACAAGTGTATAATTGACAACCAGCACTGTTTCAGGGAAGGAAAATCCTGTGTCACAAACCTACTAGAGTTTTATGACAAGGTGACAGAAGTAAGAGAAGAGAGAGAGGGGTGGATCGACTGCATATTTTTGGACTGCAAGAAGGCCTTCGACACAGTTCCTCACAAGAGGTTACTTCAAAAGCTAGAGGATCAGGCACACATAACAAGAAAGGCACTGCAATGGATCAGAGAATACCTGACAGGGAGGCAACAACGAGTCATGGTACGCGACGAGGTGTCAGAGTGGGCGCCTGTGACAAGCGGGGTTCCACAGGGATCAGTCCTAGGACCTGTGCTGTTCTTGGTATATGTGAACGACATAACGGAAGGGATAGACTCAGAAGTGTCCTTGTTTGCAGATGATGCGAAGTTAATGAGAAGAATCAAATGGGATGAGGATCAGGCAGTACTACAAAGAGACCTGGACAGGCTACAAGCCTGGTCCAGCAACTGGCTCCTTGAATTTAACCCTGCCAAATGCAAAGTCATGAAGATTGGGGAAGGGCAAAGAAGACCGCAGACACAATATATTTAGATGGCCAAAGACTGCAAACCTCACTCAAGGAAAAAGATCTGGGGGTGAGTATAACACCGAGCATATCTCCTGAGGCGCACATCAATCAGATAACTGCTGCAGCATACGGGCGCCTGGCAAACCTACGGATAGCGTTCCGATACCTCAGTAAGGATTCGTTTAAGACTCTGTATACCATTTACGTCAGGCCCATACTGGAGTATGCAGCACCAGTTTGGAATCCACACCTAGTGAAGCATGTCAAGAAATTAGAGAAAGTGCAAAGGTTTGCAACAAGACTAGTCCCAGAGCTATGGGGATTGTCCTACGAAGAAAGGTTGAGGGAAATCGGCCTGACGACACTGGAGGACAGGAGGGTCAGGGAAGACATGATAACGACATATAAAATACTGCGCGGAATAGACAAGGTGGACAAAGACGGGATGTTCCAGAGAAGGGACACAGACACAAGAGGTCACAATTGGAAGTTGAAGACTCAGATGAATCAAAGGGATGTTAGGAAGTATTTCTTCAGTCATAGAGTAGTCAGGCCGTGGAATAGCCTAGAAAGTGACATAGTGGAGGCGGGAACCATACATAGTTTTAAGGCGAGGTATGATAAGAGCTCATGGGGCAGGGAGAGAGAGGACCTAGTAGCAATCAGCGAAGAGGCGAGGCCAGGAGCTGTGAATCGACCCCTGCAACCACAAATAGGTGAGTACAAATAGGTGAGTACTCCACCACACACACACACACACACACACACACACACACACACACACACACACACACACACACACACACACACACACACACACACACACACACACAACGTTCAAGACTTTATACACTGTGTACGTCAGGCCCATACTGGAGTACGCAGCACCAGTTTGGAACCCACACCTAGTCAAACACGTCAAGAAATTAGAGAAAGTGCAAAGGTTTGCAAGAAAGCTAATTCCAGAGCTAAGGGGAATGTCCTAAGAATAAAGGTTAAAGGAAATCGGTCTGACGACACTGGAGGACAGGAGAGTCAGGGGAGACATGATAACGACATACAAAATTTTGCGTGGAATAGACAAGGTGGACAGAGATGGGATGTTCCAGAGATGGGACACAGAAACAAGGGGTCACAATTGGAAGCTTACGACTCAGATGAATCAAAGGGATGTTAGGAAGTATTTCTTCGGTCAGAGAGTTGTTAGGAAGTGGAACAGTCAGGCAAGCGGTGTAGTGGAGGCAGGATCCATACATAGTTTTAAGACAAGATATGATAAAGCTCATTGAGCAGGGAGAGGGAGGACCCAGTAGCGGTCAGTGAAGAGGCGGGGCCAGGAGCTGAGTCTCGACCCCTGTAACCACAATTAGGTGAGTACACACACACACACAATAATAATAATAATAAAGCAATTAATTTAACAAGCACATCAGGGCTGCACATTTGGTGCAGGACTTAATACGAACCATAACCTTGGGAAGTGAATGAAATGACCGAGGAAATTCTTAGTTTTTAGATACTAGGGATAGATTTATTTACTAGTAGCTTGTGAGGCTCTAAACCGGTATGGATAATGGAAAAATGGTATAAATACCGACACGATGGATACACACAGATGTTTCTTACTTCATAAAGTCTGCTGTGTGAATGAAACTTTGTTAGTAAAGGATCACATTATACTACATTTGCGTTTTTATCCACCGAATGGATCATATAACGTAGTATGATTACATGGTGAACTTATAAGTTTCTGACACGATATTTCTTTAGCCTTCTACTTTGATCAATGATTGATAATTTTTTTTTTAAATATACTAGAAATGCTATTCATATATATTTTTTTAAATTACCCCAAAAATGTTCACTATCAAGGCTTTAAATTTATTATGAAATATTTGTTCGGTAAAATTTTCGCTTAAAATGCGTAAATTAATAAACCACTTTTTGAATATGTATCTGATGCTCATAAAAGACTTTTGTGCTACTGTGACTTTTTAATATATTGATATTGTTAAACCATAGCGAGTTTGTATTTAATTGACTGTGGTTGGGTTTGTGGTTGCAGGAGTGCTGGTGTTAGAGGGGAGTGGTAACGAGGATGGGTGTGGTGGAGGTTGGTGTGCGTGTGGTGCGCGGGCCGGACTGGAAGTGGGGGGAGCAGGATGGTGGTGCTGGCCACGCCGGCACTGTGGTGGAGGTGGGCAGGCCTGGCTCCTCCACCACCCCGGACCGCACCGTCGTCGTGCAGTGGGACGCTGGTGCTAGAACCAACTACCGTGTCGGATACCAGGCTGCCCACGACCTCAGACTTCTCGATAATGCCCCCATAGGTAAGTACCAGTCTTTGGTTTTTATTGTAGCTAACTATAGTTTTTTTTTTTTACCTTGTAGGTAAGCAGTAGCCTTTATGTTCTTGTGATAAGTCAGTGACTTTTTTGGAGGCCGCACCCCATTGTTTCTCAGAATATTTTCTCGGACCCCCTGTCAAAAATCAAACTTCGTTTGTGTGCGAGAGAGAGAGAGAGAGAGATAAAGAGTAAGAGTGAGCAAGTGTGAACGAGTGAGCGCAAGGAGTATTATAATACCAATGGGACAATAAATACACAAGTCAAGGGGGGTGATAGAAACGAAGCTCAGTGCCTTTCAACTTTCATCAAGAGCTTGCAATAGGGGGAGTGAGAATTTGAGCTGAAAAATCAAGAATCCGCCAGCCACTTGTCAAAGAGGACAGAACAACCCGGAAGAAATCGAGACCAGCTACCACTTATCACCCAGGCCAGAAACAGTTGTCAGTTAGTACCAAGGTGCACAGAAAAGTCAGGGAACCTCACAAGCCACATTGCAATATGAAATTCCACTAACTTTATACGATTTTACTCTCACTTGATATGCGACAAAGCCAACAACTTGTTACTAACGTCTAGTTCAGTGATTGTCAAGCAGGGGTAAATTTACCCCTAGGGGGTAAAAAATTACATGGCAAGGGGTAAATATTTGAGGTACGTGGTAATTGAATAATAATTCAATTAAATTTCATTTTGTAAAATCAGGGTTCTCAAGTTTAGTAACAGTGAAGACCAAGGCCAGGAACCGATTGAAAGCCGATGACGATATGAGAGTAACATTGTCATCAGCAGCTCCTCGCATAAACAAACTGATTGACTCAGTGAATCAGCAATGTTCCCACTGATATGTTTCTGGTTTGTTTGGCTTTATTTTTTGTGATAAAAATGGACTGTATAATTATTTCTCTAGAAATGAATGTTTTTTTTTTAGTTTTGGTGATACGAATGTATGTTGCTATTTTTGTGCAAAATCAGAATAATTTATTTTTTATGACCTTTTTTTTCTGTCCCTTTATGATGGCGATAATTTTTTTTTGTATGGAAGTAAGGGGGTAAATGGAGAAATACGTCAAGCCGAGGGGGTTAATGATGGAGGGAAAAGTTGAGAATCCCTGGACCTCTAGCTAGTTAAAGAACGAGTTTGCCTCTGCTGTCTCCCGCCGTCATTGTATAGACTCACCTGAGAATAATAATCATATTTGATGAAGCCTAGGCTGTGTGGACTGCTCATACTTCATGTAGTTAATCACCAGTCATTATATAAGTATATATCTGACTAACATTATTCAGTAATATGTCATATTAGTCACAATCGGGCTTAAGCTTTTTGGTTGATGTGTGTTTGTATAAGCTTTAAAATTTGTTGTAATAGTTTTGTATCAAGTAGGTTTGAGTAGATGTGAGGAATTAGTAGTTTAATGTGCTTTGAAAAATTGTATTCGTAAATTTCCTTTGTTTTGAGTAGCCTAAATGCGTATAGTGCTATAACCAGGAGTCATTTCATTCTAAGGAGACGTACGTGTAAATCATGAATGTATATTCAACGTAATTTTATATAAATAGCAAGAGATAGGTTAAGGATAGAGAAAGGGAATGAATTGTGGGGATGAAGACAATGGAAGGGCTAGTTAGAGGTTAAGAAATAAGGTGTGATTTATAAGATAAGTGTTGGAAGGTGTACTGGGAAAGGAGACTGGGATTACTTCCCGAGATTGCCAGAATTGCGCTCCAACTAGATTGTCTTTTGGGTAGTATCACTGTACTGATGTATATTATGTACTTGTATAGAATTTTTTTTTTAAATTGATTTATCCTATACATTTTTATTCGTTAGGTTCAATATTATATATATATATATATATATATATATATATATATATATATTATATATATATATATATATATATATATTATTTTTTTTTTTGCGAAATTATTGCATACACCAATTTTCACTTGCTATATTCGGCAAGAAGAGCGTTACTATTTAAGCCAAAATAGCAAGTTTTACGTATTCGGTATGTACATGTTATATATATATATTATATATATATATATATATATATAATATATATATATATATATATATATATATATATATATATATATATATATATATATATATATATATAATGCAATAAGATCACAGTAAACAGGTGATCTTAAAATATGCAAAACAACCACTGCGAAAGAGTAGTGAAATTCCAATCGCTTTCGTGACTACTCACATTGTCAAGGAACTATGACAATGTGAGTAGTCACGAAAGCGCTTGGAATTTCACTACTCTTTCACAGTGGTTGTTTTGCATATGCATGCATATATATATATATATATATATATATATATATATATATATATATATATATATATATATATAATATATATATACACACACACACACATACACATATACATACACATCGCGCTCTTAGCCTAACACCCTCATCTGCTCACCATTAGTCTTACATGACAAACGCTTTTAGATGGCAGCTCCCTCCCTTTCCTCATCCCCTTCACCTGAATACAGAGCCAGCTCGTTTGGACCGAGCTTCCCAGTAATCGCCTAGATCAATTTGAATAGGTAATCAGGTTGTCGCTATGGGAATGGCTTGGGTCAGTGTTAGCCCATGGTGTTTGAGAGGTATTGGAAGGTAGCCTTGTGGGAAATGTCGCAGCTGTTGAGCAAGGAGTTTTGACCGGTGAATTATCTGATTTTGTTTTTCCATATTGGCCATCTCACCAGGGTAGGGTGAGCCAAACGAAAGTCAGATATTCACCACTATTCAGCAAATATCAATCTTGCAGAAAGTGTGTAGATATCACAATTCAGATGGCCCTCTGAATAACAACATCCTCGAGGACCCCTTCGAAGTGCAGGCATCGTACTTCCCATCTCCAGGACTTTCGTCTTGCTAACCGGCCTCCCTGAATTCCTTCATAAATTTTACCCCTACTCTTAACCCCTAACTTAAGTCAAGCCCTAAATACCTTTCTTTTATACGAATATGACATCTGATAGTTTTAAACTGGCAAGATTACTGGTCATTTCTTTGTCTCATAAGCATGTTGGATAACATGTAAATGTTGCGACTACTTACAAGTAGATATTGCAGCTATTAGCATGTAAATGTTGCAACATTAATCACTTCTAGTATCGGAGTTTTTTGTAAATTATATAATAGTTCAAGTAATGTAACGTTTCCTCTCAAATTCCGTGGAGAAGCAAGTTAGAATTTTTCCTCCGTAAGCAATTCGTGTAGCAGGCGATTAAAATGCCAGGAACATGGGCTATTTAATCCTTTCTGTATAAGTTGCTAAAAAGACAAAAGAAAATTTTATTTCTTTTAAACACGGAATTTACTCTTTCTTATCTGAATTTCATGTTTTAATATGGTAGACGAATGGTTCAGAGAACCGACAAGTTGATAAATTAGACACATGTGCAACTCTTGGGTATCTTTATTGAGGAAACGTTTGGCCACACAGTGGCTTCATCAGTCCATACAAAGGAGAATCGTGCTTGTCAATAAAGCTAGGGATCCTTAACCTTGTCAAACCTTGTGTAAAAAAAAAAAAAAAAAACAGGAGAATGAGGTGATCAGTCCCTCAACCTTGAGTCGATGTGGTCAGTCTGTTCAAGATTGATGGACTGACCACATCGACTCAAGATTGAGGGACTGATTACCTCATTTTCCTCTGTTCTTCAGGATTCTCCTTTGTATGGACTGATGAAGCCACTGTGTGGCGAAACGTTTCCTCAATAAAGATACCGAAGTGTTGCACATGTGTCTAATTTATCAATGTTTTAATATGTTTGAGCTTTGTAAGTGATATTGGTAGGTTTCTAAACAGCAGTCCTTCCACGAAGGTACTGTTGTCTTGATGTGTGAGTAATAAAAGGGAATGCCATAAAACGTTTTGCACTCTGGCAGGATTCCTGGTATTTTCATTTTGTCTCATTAACATCTAAGATAAGTATCAGAAACTTTCATTTATATTAGATATACATCAATATTTATAGTTTCCTGTGTGTTACTTAATGTTCTTGTTCCTGTCATGCGTATTTTCAAATGTACGAGGCCTGGTCTGATGTGGATCTCAGGCATAATTATTCCCAGGAACCATTAAGAAGTTAATATAGACATAATATAGGTATATTTATGATATTTTGACGCTTGAAAATTAGCCGTTGTTCATTTAAAATGGCTTATGTGGTATTTTATTATTTTTTATTATTAAGGTGGTAATGCTAAACCCGTAGGAATCGTCAGTGTCGGGAATGGGAGTTAATCAGATTTGATCCAAGAAGAGAGTAGCTCCGATTCCCTGAATTACGATCCCTTTACCGGCATCAAGGCGCCTTTTCTCTTGAAGGGTAGTGTGTTCCACTATGTAACTATCATATAGAATTGGTAGAAGCAGTGATCATATTCAATTTCGCCAAATAATAAAGGACCCCAATGGAAATAAGTCACTGTCTGACTTTTTTGGGTTATCCTAGGTTCTCTACACATGTGCTGCTATGTATGATAATTCTATGTAACTGTATTTGTGTATACCTGAATAAACTTACTTACTTATGAAGATAGCGTGAATCTGGCTACCATGAGTGGCCGGCTCGTGCTTTTTTAAGTCAATATATCAAGTGCGTCAGCATTTGTGTCGATGTACGATAATTATAAGCACGCTACTTTTACTGTTGTTAATTATCATAACTGGGTGCGTGGGAAGGTATTCAAGTGGATCACTCTATGTATAAGTAATATTTTGTATTAATGAACTTATGGACGTTAATGTGGAAGTACGACGAGCAAAATAAAGGAGACCAAAATGGCACTTGTGAGGTTACTTCACGGGTCTTCGTCTCTCAACTAGCAACAGTCAACGACTCACCGGAGACGGGGTATCTCCCTCTCTACAATCCCTGAAAATTCCACTTGATCCGTATTTTAGGGAGTTTACCTGGAGAGTATTCCGGGGATCAACG